GTTCACAACGCTACCATTACCCAATAGAATGGTCATTGAAACAGCAAAATAAAGCAAAAAACGAAGACATATTTATTTGCTAATGAACGAACATAATAAGAGTAACAAGACTATTGTATTCGCAAGACATCTCAGAAAAAATTATATGCTAATACTGTAAACGCATGCTTTAAACGAGCATATCTTTAATAATTTTTACTTACTACGCCGTATGTAATGCATCGCCTGACGTATCATGCTTTGAGTTTACTGAATACGTTAGCGATAGTCTTTAATTTGTGCGGGAATGCATATACGATTTGTAAGTACACGATGATCGATATATGAATATGGTTGAGTTATTAAAATGGTATGATTCGACATATGGAAGTTGGTTTCTCGAGAAAATAGTTACAGAATACGATAGCGATTGTCTTTCTATTTGTAAACTAGACTAATACAATTGTGAGTAAGCATCGCCTGACATATCATCGTGAAAAAATGCTTTGAGTTACTGAATACGTTAGCAAATAGTCATTCTGTTGCTTTGAAGTACAGAATACGTTAGCGAAAGTTTTTATATTTGTAGGCTAACCAAATATAATTGTGAGCAAACATCGCCTGATCTGACATGTCATTGTGAAAGAATGCTTTGAGTTTCTGAATACGTTAGCGAATATTCATTCTATTGGTGTGGGAATGCTTTGAGGTACAGAATACGTTAGCGATTGTCTTTATATTTGTAGGCTAGACAAATACAATATGAGCCAACATCGCCTGATCTGACATGTCATTGTGAAAGCATGCTTTGAGTTACTGAATACGTTAGCGAATAGTTCTATTAGCAAACAGTTATAAGTAAACACCGATCGGCATATATAGTTGAATTACTAAAAACGTTAGTGCTGATGGCTTCTATGGTGAGAGAGACTGAGAGTATTAAATAAGCGTGGCTCGGCATATCATTGCGGAAATATGCTTTGACTTGCAGAATACGTTAGTGATAGTCCTTCTATTGGTGCAGGATGCATGAGTAAACACCGATCGACATATTGTAAACGCTTTTAGTAAATACGTTAGTTGATGGTTAACCATCTGGGGGGTTTAAGCTTAAGCTGTGGCATCTACTAGCCAACTTGTCAACCAAATTGGGCTAAGATCGTGTGAAATTAACAGATCTGCAGATACAATATTGTTGTTAAGATTCAAGTGTACGAACAATAAAATATGAAGACGTAATACAAGTAGTAATACCTGCACTATATAGATTATTCATTCTTTATGCTAAAACTTACAAACGTTAATAGCATATATTTATATCAAACCCAATTGTTTATATGCATATAGTAGGTTTGATGAAGTGTCGGTAAAATACTTTTATAATGTTGTTACCCGACTGTCTTATTATTCCAAACTGACATATGTCATTTCAAAATGGACATACAATTCCAAACGACGCTAAACTATATTATGTAGTTCGATCTACAGATTTTATCCATGTGAACAGGGCTACCATACCATAAACATCGATCAAATTATTGGCCTTTCAGGCCTCATAATTTATGCTATTTTATTTCATGGCCCATTCCTATCACAACAAACAACGCTTTTATAATTTGATAATGTCACCATAAACAGTAAGGACAAAAGCATTCAATTTATTAAAAACTACAATTAAAGTGACAATTTATTTCGTAATGATATTATGTGGGTGGTGAGTACAACCTGCGCTTTTATAAATACGCTATCGGTACGATCGAATTTGCAAAGTAAGCTTTTTTACATTAACAAGCTTTATCATTCTCATCAACTTACAACTATTAACAACTTTAAAATGTCGTCGCAACAAATTTTTGTCTCGCGCACTGCATTCGATGCTGTTCTTGATCAATATATTCAAAAACATCACGAGTCGAAAAGACCTAAACTATTCGTTACTCAAGACATGTACGACAGCAATTCAAATTCTTTGCAATCCCGAAAATTCACAAATTTCGGACAAAAAAACTAGACACTGGGTAAATTATGCGATCAATTTTATTGCTAGCTTTGTTGCAAAATTTTTGATTAATAATAATGGTATAATTAATTTAATGAATTAGGTTAAGAACAACTTCCAAATCCGAGAAAAGCCTAACAATAAAAATGAATATACTCTTTTAAAGAAACAAAAAACCAGCGATTTGCGACCAGCAAGGCCAATTTGTGTTAAAGAAAACTTATATAACGTACTTACAAAAATTCATAACGATCTTGAACATCCGGGAATGCGCGTATTTTGGTTAGAGGTGTCACGTCATTATTCATGCATTCCTCAAGCAATTACAGAACTTTACGTAAAACAATGCGCTCTCTGCTCTACACATAAGGGCAAAAGTAAGCAATCGCCGAGTAGACCGATAGTATCTACGAACTTTCTAACCCGGGTACAGGTTGATCTCACGTATATGGGTAGCGTGCCAGACGGAGTTTACAAATGGATATGTCACGCACGGGATCATTTTACAAAGTTCTCTTGGACAGGTCCGTTAAAGAGCAAGAGTACTACCGAAGTAGCCAAGTTCTTGTACAATATATTCATTGTTTTCGGTGCGCCAATTATATTACAAACTGATAACGGGACAGAATTTACGTCGTCTGTTATTGCGGAGCTTATGTCTTTGTGGCCGCGCACAAAAATAATTAGGGGAAGGCCTCGACATCCACAGTCCCAAGGAGCTGTCGAAAGGGCTAATGCTGTCTTGAAAAATAAACTTGCTACATGGATGGAGGTTAATAGAAGCAAGCATTGGACGAAAGGACTTCCTTTGGTGACACATGCAATGAATTTGTCCGTATGCAGGGCCACTAATCGTACACCATATGAACTAGTGTTTAACCAAAGACCACGGTCGCATTATGCGCTTTTGGATGAATTAGCCGATGATGTAATCGTAGCTGAAGAAGATTTGAATATAAATTTTGAAGAAGATTTGAATATAAATGTTGAAGAAGGTTCTTATTCAATCTTACACCAGCAAGAAAACAACGATACTGACAATTTAGAAGAAAGAGTGGAAACGGAAGAAGATAACGATAACGAGGTATTTATAGTAGTAATAAAAATAATTAATTGATTAAAACTTTGTATTAAATTGTTATTTTTATTATGATAAATAGGCAGAGAATGTTGAAGAGCAAGAACATGACATGGACACAAATGAGAAAAAAATTATCGAAAAAAAGGTATGTATGTTTGAATCAAATTTTGATAAAATAGTAATCAATATAATTAAATTTGATACTTTAATTTAGCATCGCCCGAAAATTCGGCCAAGAATAGTTAAGGGAAAAACGATTACGGAAGAAGAGTTTTACAGTCCGAAGGAGGCCCGAGTGACAGAGGAACAATGGGAAGATATGAAGGAAGCGATGGAACTGCTCGTTTCGGATTGGGAGTTTATCATTAGTGAGGCTCGAACGGACAAACTTTTAAAGCAGCTACAACGAAATGAGCGGGAATTACTTCGATTTGAAGGTGATAGTAGGTTTCCTGCCACAGAAGTAAATAATTGGCTTCAAACTGTCCGTGGATGGATAAATAATTTACATGGAGAAATCAGTCTTTCTTCAGGTAATAACAGAAAGCGCAAGGTTGAAAAAAGTCCTCAGGTAAGTCAGTTGCGTGCAATTTATAAATTTATTTCGTTTTTCATTAACATAACATGTACTATTAGTCTCATGTGCGAACAAAGAAATTGAGATCCCGAACGGTCGTAATCGATGCTCCGGTAATTGTTATTTGTTTTAGTTTTATAAAATAGTTTGATACGATATGATTATAACGTCATTGTGTTCTATTTAATTTTTTAACGTAAAATCAATTGAAGGTGGTTGAACGGTCTTCCGAAAAAAGTGAAACTTGGGAGACTATTAATTCACAATGGGAAACTTGGTTTGGAAGGCGGCAGACAATCTCGGGTAAACTTCCTGAAGATGAAGTTGCACCAAAATTGACCCAGAGCCTGGAGAAACTGAAGGAGCTTCGTGGAAATAATGAATACCCAGAAGCTATACTTGATTTATGGGAGGAAAAATTTAGAAGATGGTTGTCAGAAATTACCGATGAGGTATAAATTAATGACATACTTATGTATTAGTGAGTTGTTAGTTAGTGTTTTAGTATTTAGCTACTCAATATAATAAATAATAAAGTTATTCTTTTATTTTATTAAAAATATTAATAAGAATAACAACAGCATACACAATGCTGCGCGCAAGCATACAAGTTTGTACAGAAGCAAAATGAAAGACGCTATGAATTCTCGTATTAAGGCTCAAAAATCGGACATCAGAATGGGGGATACGGTTCTTCTTCCTATACCAAGTGCAGATCGGGGTAAGATGGATCGAAAGCATATACCATGTAAAATTATAGACATTTTGGATAACGGGTTTTATAAGCTGGGCTGTGCATTAGGCCAGCTTAAGATTAATTACAGGACTACAGACTTTCATCCGGTTGAAAAAAACATGTACTTTGCCGAATTAGATGTTATACCTGTTAGAGTAGTATCGCTTCGGGAAGCTGCGCTGTCACAAAGCATAACAAGGTTTTCTGGAGTTAGGTGTAATTGTAGATCGACTTGCACAAGTAGAACATGTGCTTGTCTGAAAGCGCACGTTAAATGTCATTCTAATTGTCATCCACATAGTAAAAAATGTGCCAACAGGTGTTAAGAAAACCTTGTTATATTGATCGAATTTTTAGTCACTCAAATAAAATTTGTAATCACGTACGTACGGGAACGTAACAGTAAAACTCGTCCACTTGAACCACTTATTGAATCGCTTTCATTCGTAACCCGGTATACAAAGCTTATCGTAATTTTCTTTAGTCTATAATTAATGTCTTTATTATTAAAGGTAAGTTAGTTATTTCACCTTATAATCAATACGCTAATCGAGAATCTATCTTGTTCGAAATGTACAAACAAATTTCGTTATTTACAGTGTCGCATTCACCACAACTTGTCTATAAGCATAGCTTTAATGCAATTCTGCGCATTACATATGGCGTAAGATATGCTCGTTTAACGCATACGTTTACAGTATTAGCATGTAATTCGTTCTGAGATGTCTTGCGAATACAATATTCTTGTTACTCTTATTATTAGCAAATAAATATTAAATGTCTTTGTTTTTTGCTTTATTTTGCTGTTTCAATGACCATTCTATTGGGTAATGGTAGCGTTGTGAACT